ACTCTGTGCTTGGAAACTACTTCTTGAAATAGAGCTTGTTTTTTTTTTTTTTTCTTTCTCAAGTATGCTCTCATTGCCTTAGGCCTCAGGGATTGTGTTTATTCTGGCTCTGTGCTTTATAGTATTTTTTTATCTTGCAGCTAAATGTGGTCAACAGTGTCAGCAGTTCAGAGGACATCAAACCCTTACCAGGGCTTCCCGGGATTGGAAACATGAACTACCCATCCACCAGCCCCGGATCTCTGGTTAAACACATCTGTGCCATCTGCGGGGACAGATCCTCAGGTACATGCAAAAGCTGGCAGCCCTCCCATGTGCCTCAGGGGACAGGGTCCCAGGGAAGGGGTTGTTCCTCTGCCCACCTGGATGCTTTGTACCCAGTGAAAGAAAAGTGGCCCTTTAGGATGGTCCGGCTGGGGGCCCAGCCTATACCTTCCTGTCACTAGGTTCATAGCCTGCCGTCTTGATGGATTGAAAGTATGTTTTTAGTTTTGAGGATTAGATTTACAGGAAACATTTCAGAAGCCCCTCTCTGGAGCCACACTATTGCATGAGTATCTGGGCTAGAGAAGCTGTTGTAATTATCAAGTATCGCAAGCTAGATTTTCCTTGAGTTTTTATAAAACATTATTTTTTAATTATAAAAAGTCCTGAATAATTACAAAAATAATATCCTAATGTAGAAAATTTGGAAGACCTAGAAAACTACAAAGAAAAAGTAAGAAATTACCCATAATGGCCTCAAGAAAGATAAACCCTTTAATAGTTTAGCATATTTCCTTCTACAACATTCTAGGTTTATAACATGTTTTTGTGGGCGGAAACAAATGGGTTTTCGCCAAATCATCTTTAATCTTTTTTTGCTTTTGCCAAAATTATTTCTTTCCCTTCTTCTCTAACCTTCCCTCCCACCCTCTATTTCCCTCCCCACCAATGTGGAACACGTTTAAATCTCTGATTTAATTATTTGAAGAACAAGAAGATGGGGAGGTTCTTTTCTTTACTACAGCTGTCCATGATGGCTGAAGACTATGTCCTCATCCTCTTATTGTCACCAAAGCCACTAAAGAATGTCATGCCATTGAAAGTCCCAGGCACCTGGAACTTACTTAGCTATATATCTGAGGTTTGTTTGCTCTCAAAAAATCCTCTCCAAATCATGCAGACTTGGCCATTGCCATAGCAGAATCTTGGCCACAGACCGGCAGAGTGTTCTCCCTGCTCTGGTTATTTTAGTTGAAAGTCTGGAAGGCTCATTCATATATTGAAAAGCCACAGAAATGACTATGTCACACAGTTGACAAATTGGTGCCTTATTTCTCTAAGACAAATATTTCAGAGTTGAGAGCATTAGGTTTTTTGGGCCCAGGATAAAATCCCGTATTTATCATTGCTGTGAGTTCAATAAATCAGCGTGGTCAGTTAATTACGCAGAGGCTTGTCTTCAGGGAGGCCACGTCCACTACCATTTCATCTTAAGGTGGCTTCCTCTGAAATGTGAACTCCTGGGACACTGGGAACCTAAATAAAAACATGTCAGGTGTGTAACTCAACGGCATCACGTATTACATTCGAGAATCAGACATATATATGTTTTGGATGATTTGTTTCCTTATATTTTTCAAGTTCCACAATTTCAATTAATCAAGCATAGCTACCTGGTGTGCAGTATTGAGAATTTTACTTAGAAAGAGTACTGTGATTTAGTCATGTCTGTGAGGGATGGACATGGTGGCTCTCCTGACACAAACTAGCCACCCCTTCCTGGGGTCGTTGAAGACTGGGTGTGTGAAGCAGGTAAGAAAGACAATGAAACACGCACTAGATTATTCATGATCAAGCAAGATCACCTTCTATCAGATCCTTATGTCGTATCTCAAGATTGAGTGTTATATGATGATATAAAGATCATTTACCAATTTATTTCCTTAACAGGCAATAACACTTAAAATTTTATAACTCAGGATTCTGTTCATAGTTTATGGTAAAGGGTAATAATTTTAAGTGGATTTCTTATGACCTTGGACCTCAATTATTGGAGAAATACTAGTTAAGCTGAGATTCTTTTCCTGCCAGGTGATATCTGACCAGCATACATATTTTTATTTATTATGTACACTAATATCTCAAATTGAGGCAGAGCATTTGCTTAACCAAACCCAAGAGTTGCCTTGAAAAAAAAAATGTAAGCAAAATCTTAGGTCAGGAATTTTCTAATAACGCTATGTGAAATTAATAATATAGAAGGAAGACACAAGGAAAAGTATATTTACTCTGTCTTAGTCTGGTTCGGGTGATCAAGCCTGCATTCTCTGCTAGTTATTATTTGCTTTCTAGCCCAGTGCCCAGGTGATGTGCCTGTTTCCCTGGGGAGAGCCAAGGGGTTCTTTTGAATGAAAGATCCAAATAAACATAAGAACAATCTACGGAATGTTCTTTTCTTGTAACCAGGAAAGCACTACGGGGTGTACAGTTGTGAAGGCTGCAAGGGGTTCTTCAAGAGAACCATAAGGAAAGACCTCATCTACACGTGTCGGGATAACAAAGACTGCCTCATCGACAAGCGTCAGCGCAACCGCTGCCAGTACTGTCGCTATCAGAAGTGCCTTGTCATGGGCATGAAGAGGGAAGGTGAGGTCCCCCCACGGGAGACAGGTGCACAGGAAAGAACTCTGCTGGGTTGGAGCGTGTGGGAAGGAGAAGTCTGAAGTAGAGGTTAGGATGACTTTGTGTGCCACGATTTCTCAGGTGTTGCAACTGCATGTCCCCTCGCCATCAGAAACGTGTGCCTCCAGAGCAAAGAGGGGAAAAGGCATCTTCCTCCTCTATGTTCACCCATCCTCTCCTGGAACCCAGATGCTGGTCCTCAAACTGGTCCCTCTCCCTTTTCTTCCAATCGCCAGGCAGCAAGCCTCAGAGCCAAGGTTTGAGGCTCCTGTGTTCTGCTCTAGCGATGGAACGTCAGACTGACCTTCAGCATAGAGCTGACTTCTCCCCTTTAATCCTGGAACTCACTCTGGGGAAAACTGCAGATTTGATTTCACTTGCTGGGCTTTTATAACCTTGGTGTGCTATAAATTATTTCATATTGTTATATTCCACCGTCTTTTGGTATCATTGGCATTGTGCAGGTCCCACAGACCTAGCCTTCTCATTCAGACCGTTGTGCATTTAAACAGGTACATACTTTGTAGTGTGGATTAGCTGGGCTATTCTAGTGTCAGAGAAAAAAAAAATCTGAAAATACTTTCTGTTCCTTTAAAAGATGAAAAAGTCTTTCCATTAAGTAACACAAATAAATTGAAGTGGGCAGTTAATTAACTAGGGAACTCAAGCAGGTACATGGGGTTAGTGGTGAATCTTAATAGATTTAGAGTAAGGAGGTCCTGCCCCTCTCTAGGAGATAGGAACGAGGGGTTCGGTCAGTTCCAGTGGCCTCGTTCTTGAGGAATTTCCTTTCTGTGAGGAGGAGGAGTCGGACTGAAAGGACCCGTGGAGGAACAAGTTCTTTGTGCCCCTGCTAAGAGGGAATGCCACCAACAGGAAAAAGTAAAATTCTTGGAATCTCAGCATGGCGAGATAGAGGTGGCCCTTAAGAATCACCTAATCAACTGTAACCATCCTACAGATGAGGACACAGGCTCAGAGAGGTGAGGTGAGTTTTCCAAGGTGACAAAGGCAGGCGATGGGTAGACAGACCCAGGTCTCGCGTCTCCTCTCTTGCCAGGGGGTGAAGGAAGCAAGGACGGCCCTTGCTCCAACATCTAACATCAATCTCAGAATCCACGGACTCAAATCCGAGCTGCTGACAGGCTGCCCCACAGCCCAGCCTGCCCACCCCACAGTCTTCCGCTGCTCAGGGAATGGCTGTTCCATTTTTCAGTTGCTCAGACCAAAGACCTTGGAATCCCCTCTTTCTTTCACACACCACATGCAGTGGGTGAGGAAATCTTGTTTCTTCTTCAGAATAGGTGGAGAATCTTTCTGTGTTTCACTATGTTTACTCCTGCCACCCTCATCCGAGCCACCTGTATCTTTTGCAATAATCCAAACAGCATCCTAAGACACCTCCCTGCTTCCATCATTGTCTTTCTACAGTGTCTTCTTGGCAGAGCAGCCGAGTGAGGCTTTGAGCAAGTGGGTCAGGTAAAGCCGTTCCTTCACCAAAATCCTTCAACATCTGCCCTTCTCACCCAGAAAAGAGGCAAAAATCTTTGTTAGGACTTCAAAGTTGTACATGGTCTGGGTGCCCCATTGTCTCTCTGTTTCAGCCTTCGTGGCCTCTTTGCTGGTCCTCAAACACACCAGGCGTGTTCCTACCTCAGGGCCTTTGCACTTGCTGTCTGTTTATCTAGAACGCTTTCTTCCCAGATATCTGCATGGCTCACTTCTTCTCTTCCTGCAGATCTCTACTCAGGTGTCTCCTTCTCAGCAAAGCCTTGCCTGGCTATACTGTCTAAAATTGAATCAGCTGCCCCTAACCTTTCCTTGTCTTTTTTCTATAGCATTTATCACTAGCTAACACACTTATTTATCTTGTTTACTGTCTGTATCCATGAAGGCAAGGGTTTTCACATTTATTTATCTTGCTTAATGTCTGAATCCATAAAGGTAGGGGTTTTTCTGCTTTCTTTTCACTGCTGTATCACCAGTGACTAGTACATTATAGCCCTTTAATGAATTGTTGAAGGAATCGTTCAAACTGAATGCTGAAATCAGAAGTCTTAGAAATGCAGGAGCTCCTGAAAATGACTCATTCATTCATTGAGTATTAACTGAGTACATACTTTGTGCTCATGTCATAGCTGCCATGGCAGAGGGATCAGTAATGTTAGAGATTGGAACATATGATGTGAAATATCTGCTATACGAAGACTGTCTCCTTTTGATCAGGATGGAATTGATATTCCTCGTAGTTTCCCACACCATGATTGTCCAGCTATGAAATTAATGACCACCAACCGTGTCTCCCATCAGTTAGAGCATAATGGCTGCAGGGTCATTGTTTTCCCCCCGGAATAGATAAGTTTCAAGTTGACTTGGAAAAATAACAATTGTCATTAAGCACATGATATTGAGTTAAAGGAAGGTGAATGGCCTCAGTTAGAGAAGCTGTCATTTCTACTTCTTTATAGTTAGTCTAATTTACCTCTCGCAGCTCAAGCTGAATGTCCCCCACTCAATTAGGATCAGGGTGGTCAATAGCCCAAATGGTGGGCAGTGTGGCTCTTTCATTAAAAAAAAGAAAAGAAAGACTAAGTAAAACAGGAAAATGTGAATTTAAAGAGACTGGGAAGCTCTCCTTCCAAATCTAACATTGTTCTGGTACTTCAATAGAGTATTGGACCCGGTTTTTGCTGCTATGTTCCTTTTTTTTTTTTTTTTTTGAGACAGAGTCTCACTCTGTTGCCCTGGCTAGAGTGAGTGCTGTGGCGTTAGCCTAGCTCACAGCAACCTCACACTCCTGGGCTCAAGTGATCCTTCTGCCTCAGCCTCCCGAGTGGCTGGGACTACAGGAATGCGCCACCATGCCCGGCTAATTTTTTCTATATATTTTTAGCCGTCCAATTAATTTCTTTCTAATTTTTTAGTAGAGACGGGGTCTCGCTCTTGCTCAGGCTGGTCTCGAACTCCTGAGCTCAAACAATCCGCCCGCCTCGGCCTCCCAGAGTGCTAGGATTACAGGCGTGAGCCACCGCCCAGCCCCTGCTGCTGTGTTCTTAAAAAGAATGTGGAGAAACAGGAGTGATGAAAAGCTGAGGAGTAAAAATAAGGATGGGCAAGGGAGCTCTTAGAGAAGTTTCTAAAGAGGTTGGTACCGTTTACCCTGCCAAAGAGAAGGCAAAAAGTGGATCAGCTCCTCATCTACTGCAGGAGGGGCCACCTTCAAAAGGCCACTGGACAGCCTTTCCTTCACCACCCTCCTTTCTAGCCTTGGTTTCCAGAATTTTGGGCTCCGTTTGGACTCTTTTTTGAAGACGAGTATAACAACATCCTGGAGCAGAAAACTGAGCGAGACCATAGGAATGACGCAGACAGACAGAGATGGAACGGAGGTGGGCTCAGAATTCACCTGCCTGGGACCAGGGGCCAGGACCTGTTGCCCTTTTAGGGTACATAATGTTAAAGCTGGAATGGACGTTTGCTGTTCTCTGATGTAACCACATCCATTTCCTGAAGAAGAAACAGAGGTTCAAAGAGGCAGGGACGTACCTGCCCAAGCTTACACAGCAAGCAAATGGCAGACCTCATACAGGACTGGGACCCTCTGACTCCCAGGCCACCTGGGGAATTCTGAGCAGGTCTAGTTCCATGATTTCTGGTCACATATATGTGATCTCAAGACTAGAGAATGGAGTCTCTTTGAGCCCGTTTGTGGGCAGCATTGGCATCCTTATGAGCCCTGGGTGGTCCTTATTGGCACAACTAGCCCAGCACTTGGAGGCAGCACAGAGGGCTTAGAGATGGGCTTGGGAGGCAGCCAGTGGGGCTTCACATGATGACTCCACCACTGCCTACCTCTATGGCCACAGGCAGTTACCTAGCTTCTCTGTGGCTGAGGGCACTCAGAGGGTTATTGTGAAGATTAAACGAAATATAGTCTATATAAGTTGTTGAGCATAATCCATGTCACAGAAAAAGCTCTGTAAATTTTTGCTATTGTCATAAATTCACAATAAACCTATGTTGGATGAATGGATAAAATCCTGTTACAAGGCAGGAGTTTTGTACTATTTTAGATCAACCAAGAGTCCTTAGCTGTACCCTGATGTATGCAGCAGAGTGGCTCAGAACGTCTGCCAAATAGAAGATGTCCTCCAATAACAGGTGTATGACTCCTTGTTTATAACAGTAAGATTTATGGCAGAAAGAGCAAAAGTGAATAGCAAAAGGTTGCTCAATGAATGGCAAAGTTGAAATCAGAATCTAATTCCCTGAAGCCGAGGTTATTTCCTTTGAAGCTTGAAGGTTGTTTTCCTTGTTACTAGTCTGTAGAAGAAATTGATTGAAGACCACAAACAAAACTTAACTTCGTTTGCTTTCCCTCAGATCGACTTCCTTCCTTTCTTCCTTCCTTCCTTTCTTCCTTCTTTCCTTCCTTCCTTCCTTCCTTCCGTCCTTCCGTCCTTCCTTCCTTCCTTCCTTCCTTCCTCCCCTCTCTTTCTTTCCTTCTTTCTTTCTTTTCTTTTCTCTTTCTTTCTTTCTCTCTCTCTTCTTTCTTTCGAGATGGGGTCTTGCCCAGGCTGGAGTACGGTAGCATGATCACAGCTCACTGCAGCCTCAAACTCTTGAGCTCAAACGATCCTCCTGCCTCAGCCTCCTGAGTAGCTAGGACTACAAGCACGTGCCACCATGCCCAGCTAATTTTCTTTATTTTTTGTTAATATGGGGTCTCGCTATATTGCCCAGGCGGATGTTGAACTCCTGGCCTCAAGCAATCCTCCCACCTCTGCCTCCCAAAGCACTGGGATTTACAGGTGTGAGCCACTGTGCCCAGCCTCCCTCAACTTTTAAAATCAAGACAAATAGAAGCCCATTAACCTACCTATTAAAAAAGTAATACAAGAAGCATTCAACTTTAGCCAGTAAATCCAACTACATAAAAATACATATTTAAAATTTTTTTTAAATTTCAAAATATTACAGGAGTACAAATGTTTTTGGTTGCATGTATCAATTTTGTTATGCTTGAGTCAGGGTTATAAGTGTGCCCATCACCCAGATAGTGTTCATTGTACCCCTTGGGCAGGTTTTTGCCCATCCCCTCCTCCCCCTCCTCCTGCTTGGTTTCCACTGGGTTTTACTTCCCTCTGTGCACATGTGTGCTCATCGGTTAGTTCCAATAAAAATACTGTTATAGTTTCTACATGTTGCCAGTAAATGAAGACTGACAAAGTAAACACGAAGTAAGGATGAGACAGAAAGAGGAACAGAAACAAGGAGAGCAGGGAAGAGGCCAGAAAAGGAGAGACAGGCCCAAGCGGGTAAAAAGAGACAGAGAAAAAAGCTATATTTTTGCATTTTTAATAATTATTTCATTAATCCCCACAAAACCACTTAAGTTAAGTCCTACAATCCCTGCTTTACAGATAAGGAAACTGAGGCTGAATAGGCTAAGAAATACGTCCAATGTCATTTAGCAGGTAAATGGTAGAGCTACATTTTGAGAAAGATTTCTTTGACTCCAAGTTACGTGTTTTTTGCTCTTCTCTCTCCTATTTTTTCCTCTCTGTTCTCTCCCGCTTCTGTTTCCTCTCTTCCGCACCCTGCCTGCCTTGTTATCTCCTTCCTTTCTTCCTTTCTCCTTCCTTCCTACCTTCTCTGCTGCTCTCCCAACCACGCAATACCATTCTCATCTTGAGGCTTTTCAGGACAGAGCTACTAGTCTTTGCAGTATAAGTTGTGTTTCTGCAGTTGTGCCCTTCTCCGACCTACCTAGTGAGACCAATAACATTGCTTGCAGCAAGCTAGGTGTCCAGCCCCTGGATCAGTCCATTCTGCAGCCACGTGGCTCATTACCACCTCGGAGAGTAGGAGGCGTGTTTGCAAGTGGACTCTGGGGAGGAAAGCAGAGAAGCCGAGAGGTAGGACCTGCTGGTAGAGTGGCTGTCACTGAGTTTCAGGCTAGTCATATGCTTACAAGGCAATTTTCTTGACTCTTGGGATATAAAAAAAAAAAATGTGTTCTAATATTGAATTCTGCTTATGGCTGCTGGGAATAAGATGGAAACCACGGCCTTCTAGAGGATGGAAACTAACCCAACAGAGACGATTCTCCCAGTGAAGAGGGCAGAATTGGGAAGGCGGGGGTGGGAGGGAGTCTGTCTTACATCCTAAAGTGCAGACCCAGAGTGTTCTGAGAGTTGGCAGTGAGCCTTGACGACAACTCTAAGTTTGGGGGAGGCTGAGATAATTCCAGCCTACACCTTTGCCTGGGTACCCTCCCCAAACTCCAAAATCAGCCGCTGATTCTGAAATGTCATCTAGGTGACATCCCTCCACCCCTTCACTTACTGAATACCCACAGCTGGCTCCCCGAAGATCTTCCCTGACAAGTCAGATCAGGTGATGTTGTGTTCAGGCTGGTGCACGAGGGGCAGACCTAATGGGACGTGAATGCCAAGGATGATGCACAGGATCTGACAGAGGGAGTTTTGAAAGGAACAGGCTTGCTGCTTAACTATTTCGTGCTCACTGTTTTTTAGAGGCATCAGGTAAAGGAAGATGTTTAGGAGGCTGCAGGGATAGCAAGGAGATAGTTGCTTATTAGAAAAGAGGGTAGAATTGAAGTTTATTAAAGCTTCAGATGCAAACTTAGCATGGTCACCATAATACATTGGAAAGAATATGGACTAAAGACCCCCTAGTTCTGCACAGGCATATGCAAATGGCTTTGCTTTCTTTGTTTCATCTGTCAACACTACGATATCCCTGATTCAGGACCACAGTGCGCCTCATTTTACAGATGAGGAAGTTGAGGCGTAGGTAAGTGGCTGGGTTTCCTGCAGTTTTCCTGGGCATTGTAGTAACCTCAGCATGTCCTGCTGCATGTCAGCTGTGCAAGAAGAAAGGCAGAGGAGCCGGGAGCGAGCTGAGAGTGAGGCGGAATGTGCCAGTGGTGGCCACGAAGACATGCCCGTGGAGAGGATTCTAGAAGCCGAACTTGCGGTTGAACCAAAGACAGAATCCTATGGTGACATGAACATGGAGAACTCGGTACGTGGTCTTAGATCTCCGTCCATCTTCCAATTTTTGGGTGTATATCAGAGTCCCAGAACCTGTCACTCACAGTACTTCGTTCCTTTTTCAGACGAATGACCCTGTTACTAACATATGTCATGCTGCCGATAAGCAGCTTTTCACCCTTGTTGAATGGGCCAAGCGTATTCCACACTTCTCTGATCTCACTTTGGAAGACCAGGTCATCCTGCTCCGGGCAGGTAAAGAATATTGACTTCCTTTTTCTTGGGACAATAATCTAGGCTGCCGTTTTGCAATTACTGTTGGGACCCTGAAAAGAGTGACCCAGTGGGGCTAGACCCATCCCAGCTGGGTACCATGCTGATGATGAGATAACCCTATCGAGGGTTGTTCTTTGTTATGTTTATTTGTAGGCTCTTACATTTGGATAGCCCTCCCCAAAAACTTTTATTCCCAAATGAAATGTTGCTAATGGAGGACCAGGACTCTTTTTCCATGCAAATTTTACCATGGCTTTATAACTTGCATTTAATTTTCAAAGACTGTTAAATCACTTTTATTGAGGATAATCTGAAGCAGTGCGTCATTAAGGTAATGAAATTGGCAAATACAGATATTCCCATTTCACAGGTGAGATAAAAAAACCAAAGATTTTTGCTCAAGCTTGTACTAGATGGATTCCAAGGTCTCTTTCTATTTTAAGATCCCGTGTGCTATATTCTCCCTTGCTCCTATTTCTGGGACACTGTGCAGTCTGTTGACATGTGCCATGTCTCCTCTTTGTCACCGAGCCAGCAGGGAAATTTCATGAAGATCGGCTGAGCACTGGGAAGCTGTCCACTCATTCATCCTTGTTAGATAACGAGCAATCACTGAGTGTCGACTGAAAGCTACACACTGTGTTGGGTGTTACTAGACAATGCCAAAGAAATAAAACTAGGTTGTCAGGTCCTGGGGGCAGAGACTGCAAGGTATATTGGCTTTATCCACCATGACAGCTAACACAGTGACTATTATCTGCTAAATGTTCCATCCATATTTGTTGACTGATAAAAAAAAAGAGCCCTTGTCCTCAAGCTGTCATTGTGGGTTGCCCCTGAGAGGCAGTGGGGGATGTGCACAGCCATAAGCCAGGAGACCCCAGTCTTATCCTTTGTTTCTTCACTAATTAGCTGTGTCGTCTCGAGCTGATTCCTAACCTCCCTAGATTTTCAGTGCTGCTTGTACTACATGGGATAATGATACATGCATTGGATGATTATCAAGGAAGCAAGAATGTGGTCTGTTTTCCCTCAAGGCCTCCTCCTTATCCTTGCAGGGTGGAATGAATTGCTGATTGCCTCTTTCTCCCACCGCTCGGTTTCCGTGCAGGATGGCATCCTTCTGGCCACGGGTTTGCACGTCCACCGGAGCAGTGCCCACAGTGCTGGGGTCGGCTCCATCTTCGACAGGTGTCTCCCTTCTGCTTCCTGTGTGTGTGTGTGTGTACACATGAATTCACATGTAGGCACGGACCTCTGGGTAGTGCCGGGATGTAGGATGGGCAGCCCAAACAGTTGCACATGACCATGCAGAGATCATTAAGCACGTGAAAATATAAACCTGGGGATTGAGAGGGGGAATAAAAGAAAGGTTGAGATCACAACAGGATGAAACCAGTCACAGACTAGCATGGTTGCTGGGCAGAGGGGAGACCCTGTTATCCCTACGGGTTTCCAAAGAAGAGATTGGGTCATTGACATTCACCAGTGAGCTGGGGGTGGGGAGGGTAAACTGCCTATCCCAGGGGCCAGGGATGGTGGAAGGGTTCGGGATCTGTCCTTAGGAGGCCAGGCAGAGTGGGCTGAGGTCTATGCTGGGCTCTGTGTAATCAGGGGCAGGCTTGCAGCAGGAGTAGACCAACCTCGAACGGGCAGTGACTCCCAGGCACTATGCCTGAAATGGTGCTAAAGGAAAATTAAGCCATCTGATTTAAAGAGGCGGATGAAACAAACAGATTACTGACTTGTGGGTGAGAGGATGGAGAGCTGGTAAAGAGGGAAGGAAAGTTGAAAATAGTCTCTCTGTCCAATGCCAGGGCCCCGTTGCTCCTTCCTACCCCCGTTGTAAATGGTCTTCCTGGGCCGTGTGCACGTCCACCTAAGACGCCTCTACTCCTTCCCTGCCCGTTCCCACCGCGTGCTCCATGTAGAGGCCAGTGTGGGCTTTGGAATGACTCAGTCCGCTTCTTGGTGCCCGGAGTTTCCCCCTGTCTCTGACTGCTGCCCTCTGCTCTGTTCCTCTGGATAAGCAATGCCCTCGCTGGGCTTTGCTGGGGGCATTTCTAATTCCCGAGTCGTCTAAGGCACCTGCCCGGCCCCTGCTCAGAGTTCACTGCTTCCTCCTTGGTGCACCCTTGGACTTTGTTTATGCCACTTACTTCATGGGGCGTTGCCTTGCTGCTTGCTGTTTCTACGTCTGTTTCTTTAATTAAACTGTGAGTTCCTTGCAACAAGGGACTGCATCTTATTCGTTTCTGTACCCCTAGTACCTGGTGCATCGTCTGGAAAACAGAGTGGGTACCTAAAAAATATTGGTTCAATCCATTTTGTTGGTCTTTGGCCCAGTACTCACGCTTTTCTCATTACCTGCCCTTGTTTCCTGTGAACAGAGTTCTAACCGAGCTGGTTTCCAAGATGAAGGACATGCAGATGGACAAGTCAGAGCTGGGGTGCCTGCGAGCCATCGTGCTGTTTAACCCAGGTGACTGCCCTTCAAGCTCAGGGGCTGCGTGGTGTGCAGCCCTCCGCCGGGGCCGGCCTCCAGTGCTCCAGCAGTGTTTGGGCCTCTAGCTCAGCTGAGACAGAGAAGGCAGGGCCAGGAATCCAAGAGAGCACAGAAAGTCAAGCATCCATGGCCTCTCCCACTACAGCCATCTCGAAAAATATTTTGAATGCACATGGAATTCGTGTGTTTGGGGGCAAGTAGGGAGGCTGAGAGATGACAGTGGCCTAGGGTGGCAGTGAAGGAGGCGGTGAAAAGCAGTCAGAGCCTGGGTGTACTTCTAGGTAAAGCCGCTGGGGTTTGCTGATGGATTGGATATAGGATGCAGAAGAAAGAGAGGAGTTAAAAATTACTCTCAGGGTTTTTTGGTTTTCCTGAGCAATTGGCAAGATGAAGTTCTCATTTATCGAGGTGGGAAAGACGCCAGGGGGAGCAAGTTCTGAGGGTGGGTGGGTAGGGAGCAGGATTTGGTCCTCGTAGACATCGGAGAGTAGATGTCCAGGAAGCAACTGCCTACACGGGCCGGAACTCAAGGGAAAAACCAAGAACAAAAAAGAAACTCAGAAAAGAAGCAACCCCCAACCGGCAAGGAAAGCCCAAAACCCGGGCCAAAACAACCGGGGAAGAAGTGAAAAAAACCGCAGAAACAAGGGCTGGGGACCGAGCCCTGGGGCCCGCCAGCTGTTAGAAGTCAAGGGAAAGAAGAACCAGCGAAGGAGCCTGAGGAGTAGTTGGTGGGATAGGGAGACAGCCAGAAGAGCAGTGTCCTGGGGACCCAGGGGAAGAGTATTTCCAGAAGGAGGAAGTGATCAGCCTCATCAAATGCTGCTGTGGGCCAAGAAAGATGAGCCTTCGGAATTCTGTAGTGAGTTAGGCACGTGCTGTATCTCCTGAATTAAGCAATCAGTGCACTGATGCAGGGCATGTGTCAATTCAGGTTTGGCACCTCATCTCATCGCTCAGTCCATGTACGTAGTAGACACTCAATAAATGCGTGAAGGTGATATTTCTAGAATGGCCTGGATAAAATAAAACCCTCCTCCTTGGAGCCGGTGGTGGGTGCATTCGGCTATTAACGAAGTGTAAAACCTTTGCCCCAAGAGTTTGTTGGGTAGATCGGGCAAGGAAAGGACTGCTATCGGGCACAGATGCCCAGCTTTGTTAATTTCACAACTGCCCCCATCCGGGGCATCTCTGGTAACGCCAGGAGAGGTGGCCGCAGGGATGAGGGACGCGTTGGTGGGAGGGTGTGTAAACAGAGGCTAGATCGGTCATCTCTTTTAGATGCCAAGGGTCTGTCCAACCCCTCCGAGGTGGAGACTCTGCGAGAGAAGGTTTACGCCACCCTCGAGGCCTACACCAAGCAGAAGTATCCGGAACAACCAGGCAGGTGAGAGAGTGCTGGAAGAATGGTAATACCAGCAGCAACTACCCCCGCTGTCCGTTTACTGAGCTCCCAGTGTGCAGCCGGCACTGTTTAGATGTTTCCAAATGTTATTTAATCTCCATAACAAGCTGAAAGCCACTAAAATGTTAACTCCGCGAAGCCAGAGGTCTTGTCTGTCTTTTCACTGTTCATCACTCCAGCGTCAGCTCCTAAAGCAGTGCCCAACACATGGTCTACATCCTGAAATGTTGGATGAACAAGAAAATGAATGAACAAATGTGGGAATCCTTGTCTCCAATTTCTGTCAAGGAACAGAAGCTCAGAAAGGTAAACTAACTTGCAGGAGATCATAAAGCTGGCGGAGGTGAGATGCGAACCAGGTCTTTCCGGTTCGCACAGAGCCTGTGTGTGGAGTGTGGCTGCATTGCTTTCTGGTCCACGCCCACCGAAGCTTCCGTGCCGTAGAAAGTACAGGCTTGGGCAGCCAGGAGATGTGGCTCCTGGTCCCCAGGGTGCCGTCTGTGTGGCCTCTGAAAAGATGCTGGATCCTTTGGGAAAAAGGATGTTGGTCTAAAAGATCTCCGAGGCCATCTGGCAGTGTAGGTATTCATGAGTTATTAAAAAAATATTCTTCTTATGAGCTTCCCCCAGGTACAGCTAAACAAAAGAGTTTTCCCTCCCTGATAACTCCAATTAAAATGAGAAAATATGATCTTCAAATCTCATAGAAAACTGGAAATGAAACTGAAAAGACTGACTTAAAGACAGATTAGTTTTGTCTTTAGGGTTAATTTTACATGCTCCTGATTCTCACTGATGACTTTTATCTTCCTGTGAAGTTTAATTTCCATTAAGCTGCCTATCCTGGAGCATGAGTCAATATCTATCAGTCGTCCAGAAGCAGCTGAGCTGTGTTTGTTGTTGGAGGCTGTGGCCACATCTGAATGGGTGGGTTTCAGCCCTTTGGTGCAATGAATAGGCAGGCCTAGAGTATGAGTTGGAGCTTAATCAAGCTGGAATAGTAGACCTTTCAAATGTCAGGAATTTGACACAGTAGAAGTTTATTTCGGCCCGGGGGAAAAAAAGTTTATTTCTTGCTCACAAATCTGGGTGAGCAGTCAGTTCAGAGAGGTGGCTCTCTTCCATGCCATCGTTCAGGGACCCAGGCTCCTTCCTTCTTGTGGCTCCACCATGACCCAGAGTTACAGCATGTTTTGCATCCAGATGATGGAAGGGGAAAGGGGAAGGAGCAGAGAGGTGAGGCCACATGGGTGAGACCTCGGTCTGGAGAGGTCCTTTCTCTCTCTCTCACTTCCATTGGCTGTAGCTTAGTCTCATGGCCCAGCTAGCTGCAAAGGAGGCTGGAGAATGTATCCAGCTATACGCCAAGAAAGCAGCAGAGAATGGATTTTGGTGAACACCTGGAAGTCTCTTCTTTACTTGCAAAAGGTGAGATTGAGAAAGCCCTGCCCAAGGGGCCAGAACCTGTCTGCCAGAATTAGCTTGGCCACTGGCAGGGGTGAGCCCTGGGCAAGTCATGTTAACAGAAAGCCCCGAGTTGGATGCTTTCTACTGATTCTTCCACCTCCAAAGCAACATTAGATGTGTTTCTGAACACATGTTGTGTGTGGGGCGTTACGAATAATGAGTCTCATACTCATTCTTTTCCTGGAACTGGCTCTAGATCCTGTTATGTATCTTAAACAAACAAACAAACAAAAAACCCCAACTCTCTTTTTTCCTAATTATATAAGCAATGCATGCTTTGGTAGGAACTAAGAAAAATACTTTTAAAATAAAGCAGGTAATAAACACTAAATATTCTGGTATATTTCCTGTATCCTTGTGTATCTATGTATGTATACATAGTGATATGTATTTATAGATATGAAATTATACAGTTTGGGTTTTTTCTTTCCTTAACCACTCTAGGAATTTTATCAGATTATTGAAAAGTACAAAATTATCATTTTTAAAGGATTCGTAATATTTCACAGTGTGGATGCATCCTAATGTATTTAGTCCTTGCCCTCTGGTTGATGTTTAAGTTATTTCTAATGAGTATTACTTTTAAAACTTTGGAACTTGACCCTTATCCGGGAAGAGGGCTGCCAGGGGCCTGGGCTGCCTCCAGACCCTGGGGAGAGATGCCAACACTTGTCGCCTGGACTAGGGCAGAGCCTGGAACTTCAGAGAGGTGGCAGAGGCTGGGTCCCTTGCATGTCCCCGGGTTCATCCAGCACAGCTTGGACAGAGGGTGACTGCCCTGACCAAGTGTTCATGGGCGGTTCAACAGGGACATCAGGGTGTCACTGACCAGGCAGCTAAGTGTGCTGAAGGCTGGTCCCCTCTGTTTTGCAGAAAATGGTTGAAGGGGATCCTGGCACAGACACGGCAAGGTGGTTTACTCAGTGGTAGAGTGCTGCCACCCCGTGGACACTCTTCAGAAGTGCATGTCACAGGGCCCGCATTCTGCTTTCTCTGGTCAGAAAGCAGAGATCCAAACTCAGGAGTGCGCAGAACTCACAGGCACATCCTCTGACACACACACAGCAGGCGCCTTCAAAGTCATGAATCCGCCTTGCTTCCAACACGCGAGTGAGGAATGCAGCAGTGGTTCCGTAGTGTGATTATTAATGGGTGTGCTGATTTTTATTCGCCCTAATCGCAGTTCCTAGACCCAGGGCATATAGCAAAGGCAACAATAATATGGCATATTTAGCATTTTGCAGATGTGACATTTTCAGAGTAAAAAACCCATTTTCAGAGTTAATCTCAGTCTAACGTTGCACCTTATAAAGAAGTCATTTCCCTTTCCTAATTCCATAAAACTTTAATATGGTAGAACCGTGACGAGGAGCTCAGCCCCTTACTCCTACTCTTCATCCGCCTCCTCGCTGCGCGGGGACGCGGTTCAGACGCCTCCAGGTGCTTTATCATTGAAAGCTTTTGAAGCTTTGTGTTGACATTGGCATAGGTCTTTAATTTTTCCATAAAGTGATTTCTATTTTTTTAGATGATGTTACTTTATTTTCTTACAGTGCTACATTTCCTTAAAACATCGTGTGGCACGAATATGGAAATGTACACATCAAGGAACGTTGGAATTCTGATTTGTAACTTTTTCATGAAATAATGCGATGCTTAGTAAAGATCCAACTAGAACCAGAAATCTCTGCCTTAGGGCCACAGTGACTCATGTGATTTTGGTCCTTGTGCTTTATATTGGAAGTTGTGAGTAGAGTGACTGAGTTTTCAGTAGCCTTCATAACGTTAAAAACGAGCTGGCATCGCAAGGGCGAAAGTGGATGCCGAGAGACGCAGAAGCCACATGGGCAGAGTGAAAAATGTCACCGAATGAGGGGCCTACAAGGACATGCAGATGTGAGACGAATTCCTTCACACACTGGTCTCTCTCTCTTATGTGAATCTCACAATGAATGTCCTCATTTGTAGAAAAGTGTGTGTGTGAGAGAGCGTGTGAGGGTGTGTGTGCACACACATGTAAGAACATGTGAGAGTGTGAATTTGCATGTGTGTATGTGTGAGATTGTGTGTGAGTGTGCACAAGCGTGTGTGCATGAACTATGTGAGAGTGTGTGTGTAATTGCATGAGTGTATATGCTGAGTGCGTGACATTGTGCACACGTGTGAGCATGTGAGTGTGCGAATGAGTGTGCAAACACATGTGAAGCACGTGTGAGGGCATGTGAAAGTGAGTGTGTGAGCGCAAGTATGCGTGTGTGCATGTGCGAGTGGTGAGCGTGCGCACACGTGTGTGAAGCATGTGTGTGTGTGAGAATGCGTGAGTCAGTGTGTGTGCACGCGTACGTGTATCGTCTCCCCCAGCAGACCTTGGGCTCCTGGGGGGCAGAGATCACTACTTTCTGTTTCAATTTTTTCCCACCTTAAAGCTGAGCACAGACTAAGAAGCTGATCATAAAAATGAGTAACCCCTGGTTACAAATTGGCAACAAAAATTTGGTAACTGCCAGACATGGTGACCCACACCTGCAGTCCCAGCTACTCTGGGGGCTCAGGAGTGAGGATCGCTTGAGTCCAGGAGTTTGAGTCCAGCCTGGGCAACATAGTGAGACCCTGTCCCCTCTTTCCCCAAAATACTTGGTAGCTGGAGCGACTGAGGTCACAGTGCTTAACGTGACCGTACAGGGAGGGAAAGCGCAGCCTCCTGAGACCAGGGGCTACCTCGGCTCTTGCTCATTTTCCTATCCCAGAACTTATCACAATGCCTGGCACGTAGTAGGTACTCAATGTTCACCTACTGGCGATCCTACATGGTAATAGCTTCTGTGCCTCCGATGCCCGCCTCAGGCTCTGTTCTGAGTGCTTCAGTAGATCTGCCCGGGAACCCTTCAGGACAATGGTAAGGGACAGCAGCTGGTAAGGCTGGTGACGTGAGGCCCCAGCAGCGGCCCAGCCCCTCCTTTTCACCACCATGAGTGAGCAGGGCCCAGGGGCAATTCCGGGACATGGCAGCAGAATTCAAGATTCCCAAGGGGCCATATGCTCCAGCTCTGCCTTTAAAACTGATCAGCCGTCTAGCCCGTTTCTGCAGCTCCCTAGGATTAGAGATTCTCCAAGTGCCTCTTCTCCCCGTCCAGCTCTTCTGCCACAGATTGGCCGAGAAGACCGCAAGCACTGCCTCCCGCCGGCAGGTGAGCCGTGCTTGCCCTTCCGCCGTCCCTGATGCCTCCTTGGCTTCCCCGCAGGTTTGCCAAGCTGCTGCTGCGCCTCCCAGCTCTGCGCTCCATCGGCTTGAAGTGCCTGGAGCACCTCTTCTTCTTCAAGCTCATTGGGGACACCCCCATCGACACCTTCCTCATGGAGATGTTGGAGACCCCCCTGCAGATCACCTGAGCCCCGGCGGCCACAGCCTCCCCCCACCCCAGGACCACCCCTGGGCAGGCGTGTGTGGACCCCCACACTGCACACTTCCCTCCACCTCCCACCGTGACCCCTTCCTGTCCCCAAAATGTGATGCTTATAATAAAGAAAACCTTCTACACGTGAGACTTTTATAGGTGGAGTTTTGTACAGATGTTAAAGGTAACCCTTCTTTGCTATCTAAGGGCCTGGGGGGTTTTCTGGGAGTTCTTGGGAAAACTAACCAAGCCTCTGTACATACAACTGGTTTAAATTATTTTTTCACTTGCCATGGAAAGCAAACATGGAAAACAAATAATAAAATAATATATATGATATCGGCGCTGCTGGAGCACGGGGTGTGTTATTACACTGCAGGGAAGTTATCTCAGGTGTGGGCAAGGGCTATTGGAGGCTGGGGGTGGGGGACGGGGCTGGGGTCCTGAGACAGCAAATGACAGGCTGGGCACCTGAGTCTGAGCTGGGCACCACCAGCTTTGCCCCAGGGCAGCCCCTGTGGTCATTGGGAAGAGATTCTTGTATTTCAGAGTCAGCTGGGTTTTTTTGTTTTTGTTTTTTCTTCTAAGAATATTGAGCAGAAAAACCTTGCTCTGGTTGGGGGCAATTGAGTATAAAGCCAGGAGAAGATGTTCTCTTGATGGGGGAAGATTCTCAGGTCCTGGGAGGTGGTGGGAGGTGGTAACAAAGGATGGATTTTCTGTCATTAAGCAGTAACAACAGCAAAAAGACCAAGTTTATTTTCCACCGTTATCTAACCCTACACAGCCCGTTCTTAAAAGGGAAAGAGAAAATAGCTCTCCCAGCTTCTAGCCTAGGACCTCCAGGTTTTCCTAGTGGTCTTGGAGCCATGCTGTTTGCTGAACAGTGATCTCCCTGAAGGTAGGGACTGTGTCTAATAGACGCCACGGCTGGCATATCCAGGCCATCATCTTCAAGTCACCTTTTTGCCCTCTGCAGCATTAGGGCTTAACAGGTGCACAAATCTATGTATGCCATGATTTCCGTGGTGCTCCCAGGGCTGCAAGTGTACAACCTGGACAACTGCACATGGCAGTGCTGCTTACCTTGTTTGTACCCCCAGCACCTGGCACATAGTAGGCACACAGTAATTTGCATTGTTGACATGCGTTCTATGCAACTGGCAAGAATTCCCTTAAAGGGCAATGTGGATGACATTTGCCTCATTCCCGCTGTCCCCTCAGAAAAGCCCAGAGCTAGTGCTCCAGTTCAAAAACATACATCGCTGATCATACAATTGTGGAGAAACTGAAGTTGCTTTATTACTGGGAAAAGTCTGGGGATCTCTTAGCCTTGGACGTTAAGCAATGGAATGAAAATCTTAATCCTGCTGTTTTTTCCCTTTTCTTTTTTATCTGCATTTATTGTGGACCATGATGAAAATGGTTGGGTGGGGGGACTCAAATTTAACTGTAGGCTCCCTGAGCTCTTCCCTCCACCAGCGTTAACTCCTGAACACAGTCAGCCGTCTTTCAGGCAACAGGTGCCTTCCGGGAAAATTCCCTGCCCCACCTCAGCTACCGGTCGTAGCCTGAGCCCATTCCAATCTTGGATCCCTTCCTTATGGAGCCCTGGCTCTGGCTGCAGCATGATGCAGGCTGGTCAAGGCCTAGCAGGGTGTCTGCACGTCCATCCGGGGCATGTCTCTAGGAATTGCAGTTGCAGAACCTCATTGAGGCTGCAGAGCGCAGAAGCCAGGCCGGCCTCGCTTCACAGCTGGTCCCGTGGCATGCGGGGCCTCATAGGCTACCTCCTTCCTGACCTCCTTTCACACCCTGGGATGAGCATCTGAGTGGATGCTGGGCCCCAGCTGGAGCGAGGTTCCTTCTTCCTTAAGGCTTAGCTCCAGAGTAGCCCCGGTAACCTTCCAGGGCCCGCGTCTTTCTCACTCAGCACGCCTTGCCAACAAGCAGGGTCAGCTCTGTGGGAGGGAAGGGCGGTCAACGCTACTGAGTCCCACAACCCTATGCTACCCAGCCCGACTTACACCAATGACAAAATAGACGGATTCAGCCTTGTTTTCCATGGGGTTCTCGTACAGCCTGGGCCATGGCTCTGGGGTGAAAAGCTTGTGGATTCTGGACTTAGACAGCGAGAGCCTGGCTCCTGGGTCCGCCAGCTGCTGGTCCTGTATTTGGAGGAAAGCTGCTCACCCTCTGGCTCTCATGTCCTTCCCTTATTGTGAAAGTCAGATAACAGTGCTCAAGGATAAAAAGATGGAAGATGCATAAAGCCCGGTGTGAGAGCACATCCTTTGGCATAAAACATCCCTGGGTTTGAGTCCTGACTTTCCCGTTCAAGATGGACTTGAACCTCACTGACCCCAGTCCCCTAGTCTGTAAAATGTGTATAGCTGTACCATCTGCACCATGGAATTCTTGAGCTCATGCGCAGAAAGCTCTCAGCGCAGTGACTGGCATGGAAGGTGGGCAAAAATATTAATTTATTTTCTGCTGAAGAGCGAAATTATAGTTAAAACTTAATCGTGAGTTTTTGAGGAGACTACCAGAACATTCTATTCCACAGCCTGGCCTGGGTCGTCCAACGTACTGTACAAGGAATTAAGAATTTTTGGTTTCGAGTTTTATTCTAAGTTGTATCTTCATCAGTCAAATGGGAATAAAGCTCCTCATTTTCCTAACAGGGCTGATAACGGCAAAGCCCGCGTATGCTGTGAGCACCATGCCGGGGAAGGAGTTCTGTAGCAGTGGAGACTGTATGAGTCAGACTGGAGGAAACGGGTGTAGGGAGGTGCCATGGTGACAAGCAAGATCTCGGAGGCAGCCCAGCTGGCCTCGATTAAAATCCCACCTGTTTGCTGAGTAACCCCGGGCAAGTGACTTAACCTCTTAACCTCAGTCTTCTACTTGTGAACTGGGGATAACAACAGTACCTGTGTGCAGCGACTTGTTGCAAGAATTGAATGTGATGATCTACGAAAGGTACACAGGCCTGTGTCCAGCACATGGAGAACTCTCAGTGAATTTTAATACACTCCCCAGTATTATCGATCCAGATACCCTCTACAGGACTCCTGTTCTGAAAAGAAAGTCAGACTCCACAGAAAAGCCCCCTCCCTGTTGTACTGCATAGAGGCCAGGGATGCCGCCCAACATCTATAACACACCGGATGGCCCAAAATATCAGTAGTGCTGAGCTTGAGAAACTCTGCTGTAAAGCATCACTCACGGAATAAAACATCAAATAGTATTTTCCTATTGTTTTGGAATTTTGGTCAAAGCCCCAAGGTGAGGTCAGGAGGGTCTCTCATATTCTAAAGAGGAGCTACTAGATGTATCCACACAGGACTTGCTACAGCAGGCGAGCTGCTTCTGTGACTGTCACCTTATTACTCTTCCTGAGCCTATATTTCTAGGAGATTGAAACTTAAAAAGGGAGTTCCTTAGGATAAGGAGTACTGCGGAGTGGTGCTGTGGCTTCATCCCCCCACCCTGGGGTGTACAGGGAGAGGGAGAAGCCTCCATCCCCAAGCCACGTGAACCCCCCACCGAGGGCGTGTGTGGGTGCCTACATAATGGCTGGACGCTTGCTGGGCAGCAGAAACCCACAGACCCGCCCTGACACAGAGGGCAGAGAGGGAGTGAGCCTGGGCGGGCCTGGGGCCCCGGGAACACTGAGACTGATGCCTCTTCTTGACTAGAGACCTCTCAAGACAGGGTCCATCAGGAGGGTGCTAGCAGGGCAAGGAAGGAGGGCGGCAGGCGTGCCCCTCCCCCGCCCTGCATTTGGTTTGGCCAAGTTGTGGCATTGTCTGTGCGCCAAGTGAATACCTTGGGCAGAAGTTGTGTTTAGAATATCCCGAAGGCACCAAGCCCAAGACAATGGCCTCTTAAGTCAAGCGGACCCAGCAGCAAGAGGCTGTGGGGTGAACTATTGTGGGCAGAGGGTGACTTCATGTCAAACCTGGTCGCCATGCTGCACAGAATTCCCCAGGGGCCTCCTGAGGAACTCACCACGTGCCCTAAGAAAAGCCACCCGCTGGGGACTTGCCACACGGAAGGCATCAATGGCACCACGCTCTTACGAACATTTCTTCCTCTTCTCATCCTTCCTCCAGGGCCCAATTCCCTGGTAGAGAGGGGGGAGGAGGGGAGAGGGGAGAACTAAATCATTGTAGCTGATGCATTGGGCTGATGGGCTCGGACGGGCCATCTTGGCTCCCTCCAAGGGGGGAAGTGGAAAAGAGGTTGCCACGGCTGAGAGGCCGGTGACCAAAGACGGCCGAGTCAAGGTGGTGCATGCCTGAGCCCCAGCTGTTACCAGTGCAACTGTGCTGTGAAGCATCTACAGTCAGTGCGATACGAACGGGAAAAGCTTTATTTTCTCCAAGCCCACTCCTTGCCCATTAACAGTGCCTCAGGCAGAGCTCAGAAGATCTCATTGTGGTAGTTAAAAAGTCTAGTCTCATCCAAATTTAGTGGTCATTTCTCTTACTCTTCCTCCACCGTCTTCCCCTCCTTCCTCCTTCCTCTCTGCCTGGCATGACTGCTTCACCAGCTGTGCCTACCCAAGTCCTACCCATCTTTTAAGGCCGGCTCAGATGCCACATCTCTGTGAAGCTTTTCCTGATCTCTCCGTCTTTGTAATACTATGCTTTGTCTCTGTTTTGAATGCATTCGACACTGCACGCTGCATTATTGACTAGTTGCATATGCTATCCACTTTGCTTGCAACCTCCTCGAGAGCAGAGATCATGTCCGATTCGGCTGTGTATCCAGAACAGCTCTGAGCAGAGTGTCCGGCCCAAGGTTGGCATTCAATAATTGCTTAGTGCAATTGGTAGCTCTGCTTGCATTCCCAACAGACAGCAGCCCACTGCAAGCAGTGCAGCCCCACAGCAGGCCCAGGAGGCCCCCACCAGAGCCACAGGTCAGAAAACCTGCCTCGGGTGGGCTGTTAACAGAAGGTATAAGGTCTCCACTGCTTGCCACGTTACCCTTCATGGGCGCAGCGGCCTGTGACCAAGGAAGTTGAGGCATAGTCTTTGCCTTCAGGGAACCTACAACGGAGAAAAGCAGAAAGCACAAGGATCAAGGTGTACTAAGAGATGATGTGGCTCTAGCACTGTGAAGTTTACGAAGCACAAGGATCTGTGATTGCAATCTGGCCTTGGAGAAGGGGGCTGGGGAGCTCTTGTGATCTCCGTCTCCGTTTAAAGATGAAGAAACTAAGGCCCTAGAGACTCAATGACTTGCCCCAGGACCCACGTGGGGCTGTCTGAGGAACTCAGCTACTCTCAGCACGGATGCAGACCAAGCGCCACCAAACTGCAAGACCTCTGGT